CCAGGAGACCATTTCTAAGAAGAAAAACAGTGTTGTGTCAATATTTGAAGAGTGTGACTGAGGTAAGCCTACGTAATTTCAGGCTGGTTAGTCCAACATCGCCCCTCATCTAGGTATGATGAAGGGGTTTGTACCAATTAATAAGGAGGTGGACAGTGGGGACGTAATGAAAGAGTAATCAGCAGTTTTCATGGGAAATGGTTCCTGTCAAAGAACAAAATCCATCTTGTTATTTAATAAAATCATGGGTACAGCTGATAGCAGTAACTGTGCTGAATCAGTGTTGCACAGATCTGAGAAAATAAAAAAATTTACAAAATCACCAGGAGTGCAAAATAAATGATTTAAAAATAGCTATTGCAAATATCTTCAAATGGCTTTGTTATAAAGGATTCATCAGTGAATAAAGACTGTTTTTAATGGACTCTTACAAGCACTTGCACTTGTGCTATTCATTGTATTTTATTTAGGATCTACAAGAAAACAGAAAATAATTGCCTCATTTGTGAACTCTGGTAGTTTTAAAACTTGACTATACTATTTAAAATTGCACTAATAGGAGTAGCTTGTCTTGCAAACAAAGACTGCTGGGATGAGGATAATTAGGAGAACTGGGTAAAATGAGTTTACTTAAAGGAAATCTCAGGACAGGCAAGTGCAAAGTGCACTTAGGAACAAGTACTCAGCACTGCTCAGGATCACACACACAGTATCTCTAAAGGCAGAAGTGCCTCTTAGTCCATATCCTGGAAAGCAGCAGACTGTCCTGTAGAAAACTGCACTTGACATTTGTAGTGAGCTAACTCCAGTGCAATGCTTTGGCCACTGGAGCTAACAACAACCATGGGCTATCCAGATGAGTGGGATAAATAGGAGGCATTGCTGGCATTCATTTATGGTGAAGTTGCTGTAGAAATTCAGAGTCCATTTCTTGTGTGCACATTTTTACTTTTTTTTTTTTTTTAAGTAATTTTAAAAACTGGAGGATATTCAGACATTATTTGCAGTGCATTATCATAGACTCATATAATACCAGGTTGGAAGGGGCCTCAAGGATCATCTTGTCTGACCTTTCTAGGCAAAGCACAGATGTCCCAGCACCCTGTTCACCCTAATCTTAGAAGAGTTCAGTGTTGGGGAATCCACCACTTCCCTGGGGAGATTACTCCAATGGCTGATTGTTCTCACTGTGAAAAATTTTCCTCGTGTCCAGTCGGAATCTCCACAGAAGTAACTCCTGGCCATTATCCTCATCTTTTCCATGGGACTCCTTTGTCAAAAGGCAGTCTCTGTCTTCTTTGTAGCAACCCTTTAAATACTGGAATGTAGTGATCAGGTCTCCCCTGGGCCTTCTTTCCCTAGGCTGAACAAGCCCAGCTCTCTCAGCCTTTCCTCACACATCTTCCTGGTCCTTGGATCATCTTTGCGGTCTTCCTCTGGACCCTCTCCAGCCTGTCCACATCTTTTTTGTATAGTGGGGACAAAAACTGAACACAGTATTCCAGGTGTGTCCTGACAAGAGCTAAGTAGAGTGGGATGATAGCATCCACTGATCTGTTTGCACAGAAATTCACAGTGCTATATAAATGACATTTCAAAATAATGATAATTTTGCTGTTAAACTTCCATATAGACACTTACATTCTTCTACATTTATTCCACTCTAAGGAAACTTTCCTCCTGTGGTGGCAAATGAGGTTTATACAATTGGCCTTCCTTTTCATTCATGTAAGTATGGAACTTGAGTCCTGTGTCATGCCAGAAACTTCCAAGCTATTCCACACCTATGAGCCCAGAGCTGCTAACAGTAAAAAGGGCTCTCATTTGAGCTGAAATGAGAGAGGTCTGGACTCTCAATTTATATCAGCCTACCCCAGCAAAGATCTTCTTCACAAAACTAAAGTAAAAGCTACTGGGACTCTTTCAGGAGGGGACACAGGCTCTGGAGTTCGCTTTGCCTTTAATAAACCGGTTTTCAGGCCATATAGGTCTCCAAGACACCTGTAATGAAGAACATTCACATTGCAACTCTCAGTTGCTCAGCTTAATGATGATGAATCACCAGGGCTGTCTATTGTCTACAGAGACACTGGGCACCAGAATGTAGCATCTGCACTTGAAGAGCAGATATATACTCCCAGAAATGTACATAATAACAAATCAAATAATCTGACAGAATATATGAAAAAGGTAAAGAACATTTAAGTGCCCCTTGTTCATGTGGACAGTCTTTCCTTGATCTCAGACAAGGAACTAAAGGAGGGAGAATTCGGGGAGGATGACATGAAGAAGGGTGAAACACTTGTTGAATGATAAAAGAAGGTGAAATACCCCTGGTGTTGATGGAAGTAGGATAAAAAGTGAGATTCTTAACAATCTTTGTCTTCAAAGATTCTTTGTCTTCTTGCCTACAAGGTAAGTAACATTCCTTTTTGATTCCCCACTGTGGATAAAAATCTGAGATAAAAATGCCCTCTTTCTCCACCTGAAAAGGTAGAACAAGCACGCCTCAAGCTCCTGTGGTAGGGACTCATGAATGCTAGCAAATTCTTGGAGCTTTTAGCATTAAAAAGTGTTGCTGGTGCATTCAAGGATCCATGTGCAGACCGTCAGCATGAGTTTAATGACTCAGGGAAATCACACACCAGCAGTGAATGTTTTTAAAAGCCTCACCTACCTTTCCAGCCTGAACTTAATCTGGCCTCTCTGCATTTTTAACACACTCCATTAGCAGGATTCCCCAGCTGAAAGCAGAGGCAAGAGGTAGGGCGCAAACCTATTTTTGGACACACAGTACTGTGCAATACACAGAAGTCCCCTTGTTGCTGGAAATTGTAGGATGGAGACAAGCAGAATGTGTAGGAGACAGGAAAATCAAGGAGCACAGTTTTTTCCCCACAACTGACAGTGGGGCTGTGAGAGAGACTGATGTAAATCAAGGAGAATGACAGACATTTAGGGGTGGAGGCACACAAAATTGTATGACATTAAACCAATTACTTTTCTTCCTGCATTCTGACTCTATACACACCCAGTAGCTGCCTCTTCTTAGTGAGGTAAAACCCAGTCATCCACCACAGGCCTCCTTCCCCTATTATTACCTTAGGAAAAAGTGTGTGTATGTGTGCATTCATGAAGGTTGGGGTTGGTGATACAGTCTACACACAGCCACATTCCCCCGTCAGGCTGCAGGGTGTATGGCTAAAGGTTTGAGACCAGCGCCCTGACCTGCTATAACGTGGCTATGAGTAAGGCAGCGGGCATGTTGTACACACAGGTGAGCAAAGGTGTGGGTATCAGCTCCCTTGCCCTTCAAGGTGTAACTGAGATAGCAGTATCACTCACATATCCTCTCACCGCCTCATTCCTCCTGGGAATGTTGTGAAATGGGGGGGGGGGGGTGTCTCGTAAACAGGTGACCCCACCCCAGTAAGCCAGGGTGTGTTTCTGGGAGTCTCTCTCTTTCCCACAGACACAACAACCCACAACCCATGAGAAAGGATGGGGGGGGGGGTGAACTGGCATCACAGAAGTGATCCATCACTGCCCCTCACTCAGCTGTGGGTGTGTGTTGGGACGAGGAGTTATCTCACACAGGTGTAAAACCCAGGCACCCTCCCTCACCTTTTTTCCTGCTTCAGGCTGCCAGGTGTTTAATCACACAAATACACACCTCAGCACTCCCTCCTGTTGATTATGGAGGCAATGGAAGCGGCTGTTTCTCGCTCACAAACAAAAACAAGCAACCCAAATCCCTCCAATCTGGGGGGGCATTTGGAGGAGTGAGGCTCTCACACAAAGGTGATGCCAGGTTGCTGATTCCCTGTTGGTCTGCAGAGTGTGGATTTGGGATATGCCTGTCTCACCCCTACACAACTGAGAAATTCTTAGCTGAAGGAAAAAAGGGGTGTCACACCAACAAGTAGAGTTCAAACCTGACCATCTCTTCCTGCTCAGCTACTGGGGTGCTGATCTGAGGCAGGACATCTCACATAGTGTGACACTGTGTGTGACTGTCTGCCTGGAGGGTTTCCTTGGAGTGGAGAGTAGGGTTGCATGCACACAGGAGGGATCCCTGTTGCACTCTGGTAGCTGCAGGGTGTGACACCCCCGGTGCACATGGAGATGAACAAGTTACATTCCTGTTGGGTGTGAGGGTCTGCTTTCCTGCCCGCACCTGAACCCCAGTACTTCCCTGCACGCTGCAGTGTTGGCTAGGGATGTCTCTCTTGCATACATGTGTACCCTACTCGTCCTGCTGAGTTACCAGGAGTGTGTGGGGCCTGACACCCACACTTACAGGGTCAAAACTCAGTTACCCCCTAGCATCCTGTAGGGAGCAGCGCACACGTACCCACAGACCAACACCAACGATCCCATCAGGTAGCAGGAAAAGTGATGGGGGATTCAGATGGCTCACACAAGGCAAGATGAATGAGTGCTAGAGGTGTGACATAGAGATACCAATCCTCCACGGGGCTGCAGGATGTGCGTTCTCTCACACACGCGTACATCAGGGTGCAAGATGTGCTTTAAGATCTTCTGTCACCCATATGGGGCCACAGTTTGTGTCTTGCGAGTGCTGGCCACAGCCACAGAGGGTTGTTTCAGGAGTGCCTGCCATAAACACACCAAGCTGTGATTTGTGTTTTGGGGTGCCCATCACTCACACCCTGGGCTGCAGGCTATGTTTCAGTGTGTCTGAAACAGCTGAGGGACACCTCACACACGCAGACGTGGCTGCAGGCTGTGTCCGAGGGTGCCCCACAGCCGGACACGGTTATGGGATGGACACGGTTATGGGATGTCACCCACCGCGTCCCTCGCACACACACGGACACGACGCTCACGGCGTCTGAGGGCACCCTTCACGCCCCGCCCCTCTCCTCCCTCCCGCGAGCCCGCACGCCTCGGGCCGACGCCCCGCCCCCGGTAGCGGCGCTGCGCGCGTGACGGTGCGGCGCCGCCCCCGGGCGGACGGAGCCGGCGGCGATTGCGGGGCGCCCTGCGGCATGGATTACCCCGATCCCGCCTCGCAGCATGGCGCTTGGGACCTGCCCGGCGAGCCCAGCGCCCACGGCGCCGCTTCCTGCGAACAGCCGGTCGGCAGCGAGGAGGAGGCGGCGCCGAGCTGCGGCTTGCAGCGTCCCCTCACCCGGCGGTCCCGCCGCCCCCAGCAGCTCTCCGCACCGCCGCTCGCCACGTTCTCTACCTCCTCCTCCGAGGGGGAGCTGGATGCGGCGGCCACTCTGCAGCGGGAGCCGAGCCTGAGTGACGAGGCCGGCGGCGGCGGCGGTTTCGATTCGGCCGAGTCCGGCGCCTCGCTGCGCTACTCCACGGGAACGGGCGGCGAGTACAGCGAGGGCGAGGGAGCGGGGCTCGCAAGCAGCGAGAGCGGCGGCAGCGGCTTCTACCTGGCGGCGGCAGCGCTGCCCGAGAGGAGGCGGCCGGGCGGCGGCCGGCCCCGCTATGAGATGGTGCGGGAGCTGAGCGCCGAGGAGGTGCGCTGGTTCTACCGAGAGGACCGGAAGCCCTGGAAGCCCTTCATCGGTTACGACTCGCTGCGGATCGAGCTGGCCTACCGCGCCCTCGGACCCGAGCCGCGGGAGGGCGAGGCGGCGGCAGTGGAGCCGGTGTGCGTGAGGAGCGGGCTCTATGAGGTGGACGTAGCCAACGCGGAGTGCTACCCTGTCTACTGGAACCGTGAGTGCAGCCGTGCCCCCCGCGGGGACCTGGGGATACCGGTGTTCCCGTACCGAGACCGGCGGGGGGGCGGCAAGGCAGCCTCTCTCCTCCCCGACAAGGGACACCGGGCATCCCCCATCCTCACAGAGACCCTGCGCTGGGGTCACCCGATCAACCCTTCATGCCCCTCCAGCACACCCACATGGGTAATGAGGAACCAGCCACCCCTTGCTGCCCGTGTGCACTTCAGGATGAGGGATACGGGCACCCTGTGTGCCCATCTCCAGCACACACCTCAGAGAGAAGGCACTGAGAATTTCCCTTCCAAGTCTCAGGGATCCTTTGTGTTTGGGGGGAATGGTGGCACTGAGCATCCAGCCCTCTCAGGCACACTCATAAGGGAAGTGGCGTGGGCATCCCTCTGTATGTGCTTGAGGGAGGGGGCACTGGGCACCCCACCACACACAGGGAGGACGAGGCACTGGGTACCCCCCACTCCCCCACGTAGGGTCATGGGGGAAGGATGTACTGGGCACCTTTTCAGCCACTTCCAGCTTGCAAAAGGAACTGGGCACCTTTCCTTCTCTTGACCTCTTGTGCACATGCACCTGAAGGAGACAGGGATCTGTGCGCTCACACCTGGCATACAGAGACATGGGAAAGGGCATCTTATTTCTTGACATGTGCAGAAGCAAGTGGGAAGGCACATGACTGAGAAACTTACTGCTTATGCTTCCCTTTTCCTAAACAAAGGGTGAATGAAGCTTGGTACTTGCTTTAAGCATTCCCTCTGCTTCCCTCAAGGGGGAATGGTTAAGGCAAATACACCCTTCCTTCAGAAGCAGCAGGGTAGAAACAGCAGTGTGTCCGCTGCCTCCCCGCCACACACACACTTCTGATCTCTCTTTAGTGAGGAGTGATGGAAGAGGTGGCTGATACCTTGTTTCCCCTCTGCTACCTTTTTCCTCTCTGCTAGGAAAGTGATGATACTTCCGTATCATCAGCAAGTGCTTCATCTTCCCTGCCCCACTGAGAGGGGGCATGAAGTGGAGCTTCCTCTCACCACTGGAGGGGATGCAACAGGTGTCTCGGGTACACACACAGTCCTTACTTCTTACCCTTCCAACAAAAGGAGTTTGCTTCACTCCCTCAACTTCAAAATGAGGTGGTGATGTACCCCCTCTGCCATCCTTCCTCTTGCATTCATGTGTGGGGGAGAGGGGACCTTGAGGAATAGAGATGAAGGAAAAGCAGGCACCTCAACTCTTCTTCCTTTGGAGAGAATGTCTCCCAGGGTCTTGCTGGACAAGTGACATCTACTCTCTTGGAGCAGACAAGCCCTGCTGCTCTTGCTCGCACTCTGTCCTTGAGGACTTGCTTTCCAACTGCATTCCTTCAAGGACAAGGAAAATGTAATGGGGTAGAGTGACAGATGCAGAGTAGCCAAGCAATAGACACTGTCCTGGCATGAACTTGGGAGACAGACAGGCAGCTCTCTCTTGTCTCCTCTGCATATTTCTGAAATGCAGGTGTGAGTCATGAAGGAATACCAAAACTACTTTAGATATTAAACCTGAGGGTTTTGGTTGTTTCCCTTCTTCTTTATCAGTGTCTTTATAGGAGGAATATCCATAAATTACAGTACCATATGGAACAATTCACTTGTGGTGCAACAATTTGTCTTTCAGATCACTGTCCCAGCAGGCAGATGCTGAGCTCAAGGAGCAAGCACAGGTCTTGGTCTACATGTGTTTTGAGCTAGAAGAGGTTACTTCTTGAGCAGAAAGTGGAAGTGGTTATCCCTGTCACCACCTTGGAGCCCCTGTGGTTGGTACTTGATGCATCTGCCACATAGTTACTGGAAAGAGATGGTGCAGGTTTTCCAGGGGATGAGGCAGCTGCTGCCATCCTTCCTGTGATTGTGCTATAGGGAGAGGGGGACAAGTCAGCAGAGCTGTCAGGTGAGGCAGGATTGCTGCCAGTAATGGGAGCAAGAGGCTGTAGTTGTCAGCAGCTTAAAGGTTTAATTTCTTGACCCTGTGCCTTGTCCATTTTGGAAGCTGATTCAGTCTTATTAAGCCTGAGGAGCAGATGTTTCAAATGACAGCCTACACTGTGCAGAGATGATTTCTGATGCTTGGAAGGAGAGATTCCCAGAGGTTAGCACCAGAAGCAGTGCTAGGCAGGGGAGAAATAAACTCATGGTCCTGAGAAGACTAATGACAGGGATGTTTTCTAGTCCTCGAAAGCTGCTTAAGGGGAGTGCTAAAGTCTCTTCTTATTAGCAAGTCTACTCCCTTGCAAGACTAAGATAACTTTTGGTGTTTCAAAGGTCTGTCAGTGTTTTCTGGTTTAAACTCCCTTCATTTGCACATTCCCTTGCTTCTGTTCCCTGTGTACTTTTGTCTTTCTCCCGTTCTTTCCCAACCTCTTTGTTCAGACGTGAGAAAACAGCAAGGTCAGATCCCAAGGCTTCACTCTGATCTGTGCTTTTGAAGGCCTTAGAGTAGCGTTTATTGTAGTCCAAAATTATTTCCACTTGATACTAATGTATAATTTTGGATCCAAAGGGTAGCTGCTGCATTGGTCTGCTGTAGCATGGAAGGGAGCTGGTGGTGGCAAACCAGATCTCACCCTAGCAAAGCCCATGGTAGGGGAGAAAAACCTTGCTCTCCATCCCACAAGCATGAAGGTATAATGAGTGTACCTGACTTAAAATATTCTGAAGTACACATTAAAGAGTACAGAAACTGCTCTCCAGTTCTGATTCACGTTTTCAGTTTGGAGCAAAGGTCAAAAGCTTTTGTCTTTGTTGTTCTTGCCTGTTTTGTTGTTCTTTTTCACATACATGCTGTACTTTAGGGAAGGCTGCTATCTCACTGCTACAATACTGAACATGCTGACAGTTCTTCAGCTATTGTGGCATCTTAATGACAGGCAAATGTTGATTATAGCTTGGCATGTACTGAAATATTTTTTCGCTCCACATCTTCAGACATCTTAAGCACATCGCAGGATTTGTTTGTAACATCAGGAATATCAGACTGAGCTACAATTGGAGCAGATTAATTACTGGGAATTTTATCCTTACCTTGTGACCTTTGGGATTTATTTAATTAGTATTCTAGAGCTAATAGCATGTCACAAAGAATTGAATGTAGCAAAGGCGGCGCAAGAGGACTAAAATTGTTATCATAAGCTTCCAGATAAGTGAGTAAGTTGGAGTTGGGCTCCTTCTCGTCTTCTGTGGATGTAACAACGGGTGATAATTTATACAAGGGTCTTATGTTGGCGTTTTCTTAGATTGCCCAGCTGTTTTCTGCCCTCCCAGTTGAAGAGGGCTGCTTTGCAACCATTTTTCTTACAGAGTTACTCAGCCTAGTTGTCAAAGTCATGAGTAATTCTGTTAAGCCCATAGCCTGTAGACTTCTGGGTGACTCTGTCCTGTTCCTTGGCTTGTGACTTTGTTCCATGCAACTATTGCCCTGTCTGGTATTTGCTTTTTTCCCTTGCGTTTGCATGGTTACATTGTCAAGTTACAGAAGTCTATTAAGTAAAATACCTCTTGTTGCATTACAAAACAAACAAAAAAAACCAATCAGTAGGACTATCCCTGAGTAAAGATGTGAGATCTGATACAACAGATATTTTATTGATCTTAGCATGGAAATACCTCTGAACACAGAGTGGACCACTGCGTCTTCGCTTTAAAATTTGTATGCTCAGGCTGAAATTGGGCAGCTTCTAAAAACTGTTTCAGGTGCCTTTAAGCTGGGACTGAAGTAAATATCCAAGACCTTACATTTTCTTTTGTAAGCTCTCTGTGAGATGCTTTGTAAACTGGAAGAAGAGGCAGTTGTTGGCACCTTGTGAAAAGCTTCTGCAGGTTGAGTGTGTGCAGAATGAGACGAGAATGCCAGGGCACTGTTACCTGCCCTCTGAACTTAGAGTTGGTCAAGATTACTGAGAGGTCTTGGAGTATAGTAGCTGATACGTGGCATCAGATGATTACAATAGGCTATTTTCTCAGTGGCTTTGTTTTATTGTGGGCTTGTTTTGATGTAGGATACAGACATTAACAGTAGGATACTGAGCCTTTTTTTCCTCAGCCACTGGGGTTGGTTCTTTGGGCTGCACTGTCAAGGCTAAAAATAACCATTTTGGACCTGTAAGGTGCTTCTCAGTTGTCTGCCTTGTGCAGGAGAGTTGGGTGCTTGTGCCTTCCCTGGAGGTGACAGCATAAATTTGTATGTTGACACTCTACAGGCTGGCAACCCCAAACCCATCTTGAGGCCCCACTAAAATTCTTGCCTGGCTCTTTTAATCAATGTCTGATATTGCTTCTGAGTCTGTGTTTAGTTTATGGGGTTTGGTTTGTATTCTGCAACAGAAATAGTATTAAAACAGATACATGTGGAAAGTGATAAAGCATGCTTGTAGCCTTGCATTTGTTTGTTCTTAGCAACAGAACACATTCTGAGTGACTTTACATGTGCTTAGAACATTGCTTTTGGTATTGTTGGACAGTCTTTGAAGTTGGCTGGCACAATTTTATGTAAAGGAGCTTTGATTGAAGGCTGAATTCCTGCATACTATTATCTTGCTTTTCTCTCCAGGTATGTTGTTATTTTGCAGATAAAATACTTCTAATTTACTTGGCAAGATGAAGTGTTGCTTTTGCTATTCAAAATATCTCCTGGGTTTTACTTTTTTGCTTCTGTTCTTGCCATATGACCCTTCCAGAAGTATCTTGTAGCTTAGTTTTGGTCAACTCCTTCCTCACCAGAAAGCCTAATGCATATACATGGAAAAACTTTTAGGTTTGCAGTACTCCGTTGTATTAAGTCATAAATTACATTTGTTCATATGTATGTTCTGGTTCTGCTTATGGTCTCTTGTACATTTTCTTTCAGTAGAAAGAACTCGGGACATTTAGGATGCTTTTACTAGACCATGTAGGGGAGGTGTCAGCACTCTGATGTATCTGTGAGGGAGGGTTTCTTCTGTGTCCTCAGCTT